AGTAAATAATATTGGCCAACAGCTTTGAGACAGGAGAGATGTTGGTAGGATGGAAACATATTGAGGACGTACAGGTCGGGAAAATTAGATGAGGGGCCGAGCAGAGGCCACGAATTCCCCCAAGCTTTGGGGAGGGGACAGGCAATTCTTTCACTATACCAAGTGATACTAAGTTTAAAAGTGTTTGGTTGGGGTGTTGGGCACAGCCTGGCCAGCCTATTTTCTGATGAAACGCTACTGGTACAGGTTGACCTTGAGACTGCTAGAGCAGTTGAGTAAGTGGACCTAAGCGCACGCACCGTCGATCGTGTGAAACTGCTGTTGCCGCTAATGTCCTACCTTCAAGAGACAAGACATGAGTGGAATTTGAGACCGTCCAGCTAATCACAGTTAAGCTCATAACCATTGCGTCAACGCTTGAAAGTTGATCATTTTAGACAAGGGTGCCCCATTCAGAGTTCGCTCTCTCAAGTATGGGAACATTTCTTGACCTTTATTTATCACCAGAGTTTAATATTCAATTATGAGGCTGTCAGAAACTGGACAGTGAGTGGACATATACTGGACATATATCATATATCTTGTTATTATGACACTGTGACCAATTATGACGTGTGACCGACTAGCCCAAGACACGAAGTTGAGATTTATGTCTTGTTATGAGCTTTTGTGAAAACAAGTTTTGGGTGTAGTTGTTGACAGTATTCTAACGATTATGGGTGTTCTCTGTCTAGATATCTTGTTAGAAAATTGAAATATCGCTTTAATTATTGTTTTGTGAAAGACAACCTATAAAACCGGTTCCAACAATCGTATTTATGACGTCACAAGACGTAAATTCGGGTTGGAAAAGATTTAATTTCAAATTTATTCAAGGTCATTTGCCTTAAGGTCACTTATTCAGTTGTCTTCAAAGGGGATTTATAGGATAGACTTTCCGAGAACACGAATATCTTCCAGTGCCACCTTCCAGTGTCATCCCCTTTCTTGCTATTCCAAGAAATAGTGGCGACACTACCGCAAAAACTTATCAATGTAAACAGATTTAGCTTCGTCAGAAATTTCAGGAACCAAAGACATCGGAAAGGAAATTAGAAAGGCGCAATAAAAACAGAAATGTTCCCGATTAACATACACATACATTAGTTAAAAAACGTGAAAGAGTGGTAGTTTGTGTGTAATATGTTTATTATGTGTAAGACTCTTGCTGATGTTGCTAAAGACAACTGGTTTAGATTTTTTCCAACATTTAGTAGTATGAGGGGGATTTTTTTAGTTTAAGATACATGAAGTTATTCATTACCTTTAAGTTCAATTAAAATTGTGTGATTTTTATCAGGTATATACTCTTCTGAGATCTTCCTCTATCCCAGTTCATAAGTACATCGCTTTAACAAGACATGTTAAAATGTGTCGCCCTGTCTGACACCGAAATTGAAAAAAATGTTATCAATTGACGAAAATATATCTCTTATCACAGTGATTTGAGTTTTTACCAATCAATTAATCCATGAACAATGTTTTTGTCGGTTTGAAGGCGTTGGAATTTAGTGAATTCGTGTTTGTCCATCACTTTTGCTGAAAACATTTGACAAAGGTTAGTTTGAAATAATCCATTACTGCGTGTCATTTTTTACTTTATTACAGGAATGCATTTATTTTGTTGATGAAGGGAAAATTGAAGAAAATATTGTTATTAAAATTATCAAGGATAGTTTGGAAAGGTTTGCTTACACTTGATGGTCGTGGATTCTCATATAAGTCGGCGTGACCTTAAATAAGTGATTGAATCAGCTGTAAATATGTGAGGAGCCAGGAAAGCCTTTAGGTTCAGCCATGGACGATCCTAACTGCAAAACGAAACCAGAAGCCCAAAACAACATATTGACAATATATTGGTAGCCGCGATTGTACTTCATATGATAAATGAGGAAGTATCATATTGCCCTTCTTTAAAAAAAAAAATAGGAAACCAAACTAAAAGCACCATTCATTGTTTATTGTTTTTTTATTACCCTGATATGTGACATAAATACTAATCTTATAATATAACATCTTTTAAATATAGTTATTATTTACATAACTTTTAACTTCATCATTCGAAAAACACAACTGGGTATTGCAATTAGGCTACATCAGATATACGGTTCATAAATTCAAACTTTTCAGTGAGAGAGAACGATCTGATTAAAACGCAGACCGTTATTTTGCATTTAAATCATAGACTAAGAAATCAGCGATCTCAGTTGGGTTACTATAGAATTTTTCAAAAACTCAATAGAATTTGATTGCCATTTTCTTTTCAACAAACCAAAATACCACAGACCCCTATTTCAGTTGTTTTCGCCAACCCAAAAAAACTAAAATAAGATATTGCAATAATTTACATCACATATAGCCACCGGAAATTGCACAGAAATTTGTCATTTAATTCGAACTCATGTTTTGTCCATTGCTTGTTGGTTTGAAGGTGATCTATATATTTTAAAGTTATTTATCTTTTCCCAATTGTCTGAGTATGACAGCTCACCAAGTTCCTTCTCTACAGTTTGATTCGACACAGGAACATGTTCACTTTTGAGCATATCCCCATGTTTGAACATTGTGTTCTCATTGTGTTTTCTCATTACATCATTGCGGTGATCAGTATACTCTTTACACAATTCAGTATCCCGATATTCATGATATCGTTGTCTTTTGAACACTGCACTGCCAATATCACATTCGCGTTTGAACATTCCCTTATCACTTTTGACCATTACACTATCACGGCCGTTGTTACATTTGAACATGTCACTGTCATCATCACTTTTGAACATGTCACTATCAATGGCATTGTGGGTGATCCTTTTCTCATTGCCCCTCTTTCCAACAATGGGAGGTTTAATTGGGAAAGGTTGACGTAGATTGTCATCTTCGTATGTAAAAATATTGTTTTTGAACATCAACGGGTGTAGATGTGGCGGAAACGTAAGTTGGGCACCGGAAGTATTTCCAAACATATAGGTCTGATGTAAAGAACTGAGCAAAGAAAGGTGGTTACTAAGCAACGCATTTTGTCCCAGTGTCGAGTGTAAATGATGGATATGATTATTGAAATCCATAAAAGATGATAGCTGCTTACGTTTGTCCTTTCGATCACCGGAAGTAGAAATATTGTCGTCTGATAACATTGCACTGACAGGAAATGAGAGTTTAGATTTCTTTGGAGTGACTGGACTGGCTCGTTCTGATTCTGAAATTGCTGAACATTGTGAATTGTCAGTAAAAGAAACTGGTATATTTGTTCGCATCGGTGATTCCAAATTCATTCTTTTATGACCATGTTCAGAGCTCAGCGTTTCGGAGATGTGACGTTTTCTAGAACTGACGGGATCCAGCTCTTCATCGCATGTTGATGATGTTACTGGAATAAACAAAATAATATTTGCATAAGGGGAATAAGTTATTATGTATGTAAGTTTTTGGAATCTTGGTACAAACCAAAATTTCTCTGATCTCCAAAGAAAGAAAAACCTACATATTGCAATGTAAATATATTTCTTTAAAAATGCTCTTGGGTTTCTTAGAGTTGATCCAGGGATTAGATATTAGATTTCATATTCTGTACATAGCTGAATCATCTTGATCTTTAATATGAAATTTTGATTTTTTATACATTATACCACTGACAACGCCATACACCACGTTAACTATCATTACATAGCGGTATTTGCCCAACCTAATCGATTTTCAACTTCTGAGGAGTCTTTTGCACACAGCTCCTCGGTTCGTTGTCCCATTCGAACAACTATACGCTTTTTACGACAGTATGGATTGAGAGGTCCGGATTTTGTTAAATGTTGCTCGAGTGTTATGTGGGATGAGCCTTTTCGACATAAGCAAAAAAAAATCATGTTCACTATTTTCACAGTTTTACTATCATCAATATGCGCAAGAAAATCACATTTTATTTGTGAAAAACTGTTAAATCAATGACGATTATACTTTATTTGTTGACATGTACAACAAATGTTCAATGTTCATTTAGAATATTTTTCCCTTAATTATCTCAATATTGTGAGTAAATGGCTTGTTAATTACAGGGGAACATAAGGAAATGAGCTGATAATGATGATAATATATTGTGTTTTGAAATGATTATGGGAAGAAAATTGTAGCCTTTGCTCATTAAGTTTGCCACATCTCTCACCCAAATTACAGCTTTGGTGAGGAAAAACGAAGGAGCGGCGCAACTATTCTGACTTTTTTAATTTTTCTAACGAGTCCAAACTTTCTGGTTTCTAGAATTAAAATTAAAGATGGAGAAAATAAAATCGAATTTTGATCCTATCTACTCATTTAATTTCCTTTCGGAAAAATTATTTTAAAATCTTAAGGGACTGCAACCTTCATCTGTCAAGGCCGTAATAATCAATCCCCATCTAGCACTTGATATTCAAAGCGCTTATTGTATTATCGAGTACATGTGTTGCACTATGGGATCGAGAATTTCAATAACTATTCCCAACTCCTTACATAACGAAATCGCTTATTGAATAATGACATAAAAAAATAAATAACAGATTCCTGTACAAATAGATAGATGTTTACTGACGCGAACAATCTTTCTGAAACAGGATGTGTTTCCATAGGATACTAATATTTTGGAGGTCTAATGTATATTTACCCAAGAAGCATCACCACAATTAAGTCTCCAAATAGTATTTATGTGTAAATCGACAAGTCAGACTGAAATTTACCTTCGATATTAACTTCTTCGTCGCTTTCATCTTCATCTATTTTGATTGTCTCATCCTGACTACTTCCAGATGGCGCTACATGATTACCAGACGAACTGTGGGTTACTACGAAGCAGCTTTTCCTGGAATAAAATAACACTTTTGTCAGAAATTTCAAATGTATGATTGAGTATGTTCAATGGATCCCTTGCGTTATGAAATTGATTTCAGGTGGATATAGAGGTCATGTTTTGGGGTTTGAGATAGGTAAAACATCACTTACTTCTTTTCCCGCTTCCCGCCTCCTGTATCCCGAAAACCTTTTGCAAATGGATTATTATCTATTTTTAACTGAGTGATCTGGAAAGAAGAGAAAAGGGTGTAATGAAACACGTAAAGGTACTCAAATATACCAAAAATTTTGAAATTGCTATGAAATCTTGTAAAATTCTCGCCATTTTGCGTTTCCAGTATGTCTTTGGAGACTAACGTTTTAAAAATTTTTGTTACCCATTGTATTCTGTTTCTTTTTTTTTTTTTTTTTTAAATGAGTTATTGGAAGCATTAATTAAAAAATTTTGACTTTAATGTTAAGGGAAAACAAGTAAAATGACACTAATAACATCGATTTGAACTATTCCAAGAGAGTTTTACTTAGTGTTACCTTTTCGTTTTGGTATGCCGTTACTGCTATGAACTCCATTTCTTTAAAAATAAAACTTTTAAATGGACTGTATGGTAGTTTGAGCACATCGTCTGTCCGCACCAGATGAAATCGAGGCTGGTATTTGTGCATTGAATTCAAAATCGTCTGCAAGGAAAATAGATTGTGTATTACAAGTACCGGTATACTAATATTATGACGTCATAAGTAATAATTGTCTTAAAAGAGCTCGAAGTAACAACGGTCTCTATCAATCAGGAATATTTTCGTTTAATTGTAGACGAACTGAAAGTCGGTTGTATGTCTCAAAAGTGACACTGTGACAGTGCAAGTGCAAAAAGTCAAACAACCATTCCTCCTAAAATGTTTTACTTTTCTATGTCCTTTATGTCCTTGCTTTAATATTAATTTTCTTCTGATGTTTCTTCTGAAAATTTTCATGAATTTTATTTGCCTTTGTTTTTCTTTTTTGATTTACTATTGAGATAATATATTTAGAGAATGCAACTTACAAAGTGATAACTTACAAAACCATGTTTATCAGAAATATTGTTTGTAAGCTTGAGTTTATGGAACGAGACAATTTTCTGCATCCATTGTTCCCCTGTACTAGGTGAATCTGGATGGATATACATTCTCTTGGGCATTTCCGGATCCGCTTTACCAGCCACCATCCATTTACTATTGTGAAATTTATAACGACAATCATCAACGGCTATGATATCCATGAGTAAAATGTATTTAGCTTTCTTATCCAATCCGGAGACCTTCACTTTAAATGGTGGAAACATTCGTCTGAAATGAAAATTATTTTAACGTATTGCGCTTATTTTAAAGATAGGGTTCTTTTGCAGAATGGACATATGTCGATGTCTTGAAGACACGTTTTGGGCATATTTTTTCAATAGAGACTAATATGCATTAGAAAATGAAATCTCGCGTGTTAAATTTTCGTAGTTACATGTTTTTGAATGAAAAAGGGCAAATTTATTTTGGTATTTGTAATTTTACGCTGTTATACTCTCTTAAATGTTATTGTGATCTAATTTCTGTGGGTAAAATTTCATTTGTCATGATAACTTTTCATTTCCATCAATTTTCAAATTAAGACTTATTTAATATTCTTTTGTTCGCGTCCATTATGTCATTTCTTTGTATTCGTCTAATCCCTTTGTTATATTCGCCCTCAAGGCTCGCCCAAACCAGAGTAACAGAACCAGTTTGAATTTGCATTAATAATCATCAAGAAGAGTGGGAAAAACCAAAGTATTACTAAAAATATTGTTAAATTGCCGAGTTGGCAAATACATTTTCAGACTGACGTGGTGTATTCTAGAAGGATGAGCATGGTATGCCCGACACTGAAAACTAAATCTAGTGGACTCTCTGAAAGGGATGCATAGTTCACAAACTCAGTTGCAGGGTAGTATTGGGTGTTCGGAAAGTGTGGTCTGGTCATGCTCAAGCGACCTTCACTGTCGTACTTATCGTAATGAAAGTCAAACTTAAGTTTTTGGACGAAAGAAGCTCATAGCTTAATAATGGACAGCCTTATCTATAAATTATCATCGCAGTATAGACGATAAATATACCGTAACAAAAGTATTAGCTATGTGAAATCTTCAAAAAAGAGCATTAGGTGATATTGTTCAAAAGAAGGGGAATGTCAGTCAGCGACACCCATTACAGCGTTTATTATAGTCACTGGCCTATTGGCATTGAGTGTTATAGACGATTCTATAGAAACGCTGACCTTGGTCAAAAGAAGAGAATATACAGATGTATATATCCTATGTTGATAAACATGTATCATGATATTATATTATAATATTATTACATGGATGTATCGATGATACATAAGTTATCTAAACATATTCATGAAATCTGAATTTATTTATTGGTTTAATCATGATAATATCAATTATTGGAAGGTATTCTATATAAATTTGTGTATCTATTGATTTTTTTTATTTTCTGCATCATGATTAATAAATCATGTATCATGATACATCCGTGTGCTGAAAATACATTTTCATTTTGATCAGTACAGCTGATTACGTTTATAATCACTGAAATTATCAAATACAATTCTTATTTATTCATTCATTTTTTTTCTATATATTTTTATATCTGTGTATCATGAACCATGTATCATAATTTATGTATTAATATTTGTGTTGAATTCTAAGCTTGTTTTGTGTTATTTTATGTTTATTTAACAGAATCATCTATATATTCCTTAATTGATTTATCTTTTTATTCATTTATTCATCCATGTACTTCTTATGTATCAATACAAGCCTAATTACATTATGCATCATATGTATCATATTTTGTGAAGATACATTCTTATAGACAAATTTTGATCATATTTTTTAATAATACATATATTAATATGGTACAACTGTGTCATCTAGTACATATTTATATAGATAGATATGACATGTACAATACTTTATGTGTTATTTCACGAATTTGTCCCAAATAACCACGAGAAATAATAGAAATTTTAACCATTAGTCTAGCAGCCATAATTAATTATCTAATAATGTTATAAAGTATTTTATAAAGCAGAATATGAAATTGTTATTGGATACATTACGGTTTTGATTGTAAACATATAAATATAAATAACAACAATTAACATAATTCAATCACAACATGTATTGTAATAAATAATCAGTTTTGATATGTATCTAATGTATTATGTATTGAAAATATATTTCATTAAACCTTTCTATCAATTAATTGTTTTTTAAAATTTTAGTATCAGTTACTTCCCTTGTGATACAACATTTATTGAGTTTATCTCAATAGGTTGAAAGATTAGATATTAAAGAAGGAGTATATTATGATCTACCTGGTGAATTTTTCTTCATCTATATACAAAAGTCTCAAAGCAAAATTAAAATGTCGAGGTGAAAATAATTCAAAAAATAATTTATAAGCAAATTAATGAAGAATTATTTTACAAAGTTAACAGAAATGTATCTACCTGTGGGCAAAATGATATTTGATACTTATCACCGATTCTTGTTAGTTTGAAACTGGCGTATACTTCATAGTAATTTAGTATATCATGAAACCCAGAACAAAAACAAACCACAAAGTCAAAAACGGTAAAATACACCCAATGATTAACCAAATCATGATGATTTGCTTTCAAAAAAACTCAAATGCTATGCTATACAAATAAAAGCAGTAGGTCATTCATATAGAATTTGAATATGAAATCTTTTGCCTAGATTTTGATCGTTTTTTTAGAATTTATGCCTTATCTGTAATTCATTTGTTATCTAAAATACCAAAATCCATTTGGTGTTCATACATAAATAATGAATACCTGTTATTAATTCTCTAATAAATTACATAAAATGTAACAAAATAGGTTAATGAGTTTTGATAATTAAAATAAATGACAGAAGCCATCTTTAAATTTGGGAAAATTTCGGATGTAAAACAAAGGCCATTTCCGAAAAAAAAAATTGCCATTTTTTTGACCGCCACTATTTTCATGAGGATAACATTACTTTTTCTTAATTTTTTGTTTTTCTTTTTCATGTTTTTGAATTCCGACATTATTATGTTTTATGATGAATTTTTGTCTCATATTTGTCTGTGTGTCTAGTTTCCAATAACGTATATTCATTTTCAATATCATTTAATATGATTATTAACAAATAGGGTTATATTATTTAATTATGATTTTCGGTATTCACAAACCGACATAATAGCAAATATGATTTAAAAAAACATAATTCAAACCAGACAAAAGTACATATATGTGAATCTCTCTTAAGCTGCAGCCCCGAGCCTAACACGGTGTAGGGATGTATCTGAAAAGGGGCGAGCATAAGCTTATGAAAGCATGTATACGCAAAGCAAATAAATGACAACAAGCATATTGAATTTGAATGTCAAAATCTAAGATTAAATTACTCACCTTCCGGATTTCGTAATAACCATTTCCGTTCCAAATTTATGAAACGAATCCCATAAATCTTTGGATTCCAATTCGACTTTTGGATCATCTTTGACGTCATCATCACTTTCAGGAACTTTGTATGGTCGAAACGGTTGTGGATGAGATAAAAAGTCGCTGGCAAAACCATTCAATTGAGAAAATTTGGGTTGGCTTAATCCTGCAGGATGGATTGGTAAAGATGGCATATATGGATTGGGCATTAACAAGGATCCCATCGTGTAGTCCATAGAACGTTGCAGTAAATACGGATTAAATGCCATTTCACTAATTTAATCCCGCTTAACATTGGATTAAACGCATCGATCCGAATTACAAATATTACTGTAGGGTTTGATATTGACTTTACACTACATAGAAAAAAGTTGAGTAAATACACTCAAAACGAAATACAATAGAGAGCCTCCATATCGTATGTTTGCTATTATTCCTTTATCATCTGTATCTCATGCACGCATCTTATCATTCCTTTCATCTCATTGGTCGATTTTCAATTCTCGACCACGTTAGGACCAAGGAGGCGTGTTTCAACCCTTCAACTTGATAAATGAGGAAGGTGTTTTTCTCGAGATCTCGAGTTCAATTATCCACCCTTTTTTACGGAATAAAATTTTCTTCTTCGATTTCTAATTAAAAAGAATCATCTGGTTTTCTTTCTTTTTTAAAGAAAATCTGCTTTTGTTACAGTTTTCAATTTGTCATAAGACGATTATGAGGTCTCATTCCCACTTAAAGATTTTAATTTTTTCAACTGAAATTTCTGCATTAACTTTTATGAACTTTTAAGCTAGAACGGTAAAAAGGAAATTAAGAATCTGTCTACTGTCTGTTTTGGTAGTTGCAGTTCATATTGCAGTCACGTTTTTTTTTCGGAATTACAGGTAGGCTACACCAGATAAACGGGAAATCAGGAATGGTTCAAATAGAAAAAGTCTGCAGGATACACATTTGAAATCGAGAAAAAATTCTGTTGTATCCTTTTCAGCATAACGCTGTTAGTATTCTTCAGAATTTTTTCAGGAGTTAAAAACAAAAATTATTGATTTTTAAAGTTATATGTGACAACAACTAAGATATCTGAATACTACCCATCCCAAAACAACAACAAAAATATATAAGAACTATAGCATAATATAAATCTTTAGTAATATTATTGATGTTTTGTTTTTGCAAGAGCACCGAGCCCACAGTCGCTACTTCCGTTGATCAATGCCATATATCAGTTAGAGCACTTAAAGCAGTGACGCATTGTTCATAATATAGTGACGTATTGTTCAGAAAGTGATGACGTTTTATTTATAGCGATAGATTATCGACAGGAAGATTGTTTTAATCGACTGTTTATTTTCTTTAAGATATTTAATCAAACGGTGGCACGTTCCCTATTGTATAGACTTGACACAAATGTCAGCTAATTAAGAGATGCTGAATGGACATCACGTCACACCTCTTTAGTGGTCACTTTTGTTAGTTTGAATTTTGGGGATTCCTTTTATCGGTTATTGAACTCTCGGTGTTAGACACTGGGCATGTATTTGCTGAAGTAAAAAGGAATTTTCTATTCTATTAAACCCAGTCTAATAACCCAATTTGCATATTAAGCCTACATTGACCTATATATATATATTAATAAGCAATATATGTCTCTTGCAGTATAATATGCTGATAGGCTAGTCAAATTTTCTCAGGTTGTTTTTACCAGTTTTCTCGTTGCCATTATTTGTTTCCAGAAAAGGCCAAAAAAATCCACCCCTTGCTCCACTGTCAATAAGTGATGTTTTCAGAACTTTTTTATTTTAATTTTATAACCTTATATGCTTTTAAAAAAATTACTCATCTTTCATATTACATTACATGTATTTCTTTGAATCGCAAAGTAAAAAATATCCCTTTGTTTGACGCTTACATGCTAAAAAAACGAAGAAAACGGTGACAGAAAAACGTAAGAAATGTGAGGAAAATCACAAGATATGAAATTACCCTCCCATCATGCAATGACCTTATGTTTCATTCCATTTCTGACAATAATGAAATGCTAATTATGTTAAAGTAACCTGTACTAGAATTCTCATTGCTAAATATTTCCTATATTGTATAAGTCCAATAAAAAAGAAGACGCTATGCTTATTTTTGGAACCCACCTAAGAAAGTTACTATGCCATGCACTTCTTTTCGAGAATAAAAATTTCTAAATGATATAAAAATATTGAAAAAATTGAAAAGGAAATTACAAAAATGGTAAAGAAAATTTTAAAAATGTATAGAAAATTTGGTAAAGAAAATTTTAAAAATTGTACAGAAATTTTTAACAATGGTGCAGAAAAATTGACAGAAAAACTTGAAAACTGTTTTGAAAGTATTGCAAATGTAAAGAATGGTTAAGGAAATTTAGAAAAATATCAAAAAAGACACGAAAAAATTCGAAAAATTTGTATTTTTTTTTTTGAAAAATAGTACCGTTTTCGCCCCGAAATTCGTTGCTCACAATATTTCCTGATCAAACCTTAAAGTTGGCAGAGTCTCTTTAATGTCAGGTAAATTGAAATTTTAGCATTTCATGTAATTCTATCTATTATGACATAATTACATGGTGTAATTTATAGAACCTTTGTTCATTTCCTTCCAACAAAGAAACTTGACGTTATTGATATGAAACTATAGATGCAGAGATATTGTTATTATCACAAGAAAAATTGAGAAGTTTTAAAGAAGGATTAGATTCAAAATTAGAAGTTTAAAAAAATCATGTCTTTATTTGTTCACAGGTTTATCAATTCTAAACAACTTAAAATCATTCTAGGTTTTTTCCATGTCAATCGACGAAAAAATCTTTGATTAATGAAGATAATGGCTGATCACTTTGTCAAAAAACAGAGCAAATTATGACTGTCACGAGGTGATTTTGAAGTGTAGGCCTACGCTTCCTTGCCTTGGTTCCGCCATCCGCCGAAATACTTATTACTCTTTTAGTGTTGCCAATATTCAATCAAACCTGATAGAAAGAACCTTCTAATAAGCCACATGATTTGCGATTAAATTACCGCAATATATTGCCCATATGTTGACCATCGAATGTCCAGAAAGTTTCCAGGTTTCATATTCGTTTGGAATCTATCAATATTGCATTTTAAATTGGTGTTTATATTGTATCAAGGTAGTTTTGTAATATCAAATGTTATTAACAGAAGTGATATCATTCCTGATACGATTTACCGTTGTTTATTTAAAACTGCCTGAACATTGGGAGGTCTATTATCATCATCTGGTCTGATACGCTTCACATGGATTAATGTTAGTGTTAACGTCAGTGTTATGTTATAGTGTTATGTCAGTGTTATGTTATAGTGTTATGCTACATGTAATCATTTTCTCAATTATCTTATGAAATACTCTCTAATCAAAAAAACATTTGCAATTTTATATTGAACATTGAATTTTGAATTTGTCACCACTGATAGAGGAAACCCATAATTTCCATTATGTTTAGGTAGTGGATTCAAAAACATTTCATGTGTACCAACATCTTCTAGCAGCACCATTCTTATTTACCATCACAAAATTATGACATCTCTTCACAATAAATATTTTACTTTAATTGTTGATGCGATAGTGATCTGGAATTTCGAGAATTTAGGACATGAGAGGTAGATCAGATAGCGTACTTTGATTTTTATGTGGTTGATTTGTAAATATCACAAAATAGAAACCACAAACACATCAAACATTTAATATAATTTTATTTGAATAGTTTCTACAATTTCTGAAATATCTTTTTTATTACAAAATAAATCACCAAACAACTGTTCTTTGATAAAGTATAAAATAACAGTAAAACTGTAATCCAAACCCCACTTTTATAACGTTAACTACAGTTTTCATTTGTTTCTTTAGTTGTTTGTTCCGCTAAAATTGATTTTTAAGCCACCAAATCAAATTTTCTAGTTATACTTCGGCCATGAAAACATAAGACGCCAAATGAGCATAATTTTTTTATTCCCCAAGAGAAAACGACAATAATGTTAAGCCAATTTAACGGCGATTTAGTGAAAATGGTTCATTTTACTGTGATTTTTATATGAAAACTGGCGGCTAGAGATATTATTTTTGGTGAATTTAATATCCGGCCTTTATAGAAGTTTGATTATGAGAAATTTGCTTGTTTCTGTCTGCTGAACAAACGAAAGTTAATATGATGAAAATAGACAATATTTTATATTTCATTCCGGTTAAACTGTGTCATATAGACCAGAGGTTTTCAACCCTTTTCTTTCTATTACCACTCCCATCTCTAAACCCTTACTATTTCGTGATTTTCTCTTAGGTTGTTTTCGTCGTAAACTTAAAACAGTTCCCTTCTCGAATTACCACCGTTTGTGATAGAAGATTTAAGGAAGGAAACGCTCACAAAAAGTTACTGCAATTGACTGTTTATTTTTATGCATCGATAAAGGAATTAATTTTCCTTTTAATCAAAGACTATTTCCCCAAACATTACTGATATATACTCTATAAAGAGTCAATGCGAAGTTTCTCGGAAACTATAAAGAATGCACCCCTTCCGGGTTCTTTGAACATATATATAGTTGTCAAAATTGATCAAAACGCTTCTTTAACATTTTGAGATGGCATCAATTCAGTTCCGGTTTGATTAGCCAATAAAAAGTTAATATTCTGTTTGAAGTGTTGAATTCAAGGGAGGTAATTAAGTTTTTGTGAGATTTCAGTGTTTTTGATGTTTGAACATGCAGTTATAAAGAGTAACAACTTCACCACCTTATATAAATTTTATTGTTTTGTTTATTATTTTAACATTCAGCCAGATACACCTTTAATGGTCTGACTGTTTCAGGAAAATCCATATTGCGTTTGGGATTTACATGTTTAAAACGTTTACATCGGTCATTTGTGTATCAGACTTTCTTTGGTATCTAAACTGCAGATGCTGATCCTTAAACAGGAGGTTTGAATTGCATAAAAATCTTATATACATTGAAGCTGCGTTTATCCGGATGGCGATAATCCGGAAAACCCGGTATTCGCTCGCTTTTTTTTCCTTGCAGGTTTATAGTCAAATCCAATAACAAGTCTCTTCAAAAGATATCTCGATTTAATTAGCCAATGAACGCTCTTCAATAAAGAAGTCATTTTATGTCTTAATGATATTAAAATGGCGTCCATTTTGTAGCCT